CGCCGGAGTGGAGGAAGCCTCGGAGGAGCTCGCCGGAGGGAGGCCTCGGCTCGAGTGGAGGAAGCCTCGGAGGAGCTCGCCGGACTGGAGGAAGCTCGGAGGAGCTCGTGGAGGAAGCCTCGGAGGAGCTCGCCGGGGCCGGACTGGAGGAAGCCTCGGAGGAGCTCGCCGGAGCCTCGGAGGAGCTCGCGGAGTGGAGGAAGCCTCGGAGGAGCTCGCCGGAGTGGAGGAAGCCTCGGAGGAGCTCGCGGACTGGAGGAAGCCTCGGAGGAGCTCGCCGGACTGGAGGAAGCCTCGGAGGAGCTCGCCGGAGGAGGAAGCCTCGGAGGAGCTCGCCGGAGTGGAGGAAGCCTCGGAGGAGCTCGCCGGAGTGGAGGAAGCCTCGGAGGAGCTCGCCGGACCTCGGAGGAGCTCGCCGGAGTGGAGGAAGCCTCGGAGGAGCTCGCCGGAGGAGGACCTCGGAGGAGCTCGCCGGAGTGGAGAAGCCTCGGAGTCTGGATCGTGGAGGAAGCTCGGAGGAGCTCGCCGGAGTGGAGGAAGCCTCGGAGGAGCTCGCCGGAGTGGAGGAAGCCTCGGAGGTGGAGGAAGCCTCGGAGGAGCTCGCCGGAGAGGAAGCCTCGGAGGAGCTCGCCGGAGTGGAGGAAGCCTCGGAGGAGCTCGCCGGAGTGGAGGAAGCCTCGGAGGAGGAAGCCTCGGAGGAGCTCGCCGGAGTGGAGGAAAGGAGCTCGCCGGAGGAGGAAGCCTCGGAGGAGCTCGCCGGAGTGGAGGAAGCCTCGGAGGAGCTCGCCGGAGTGGAGGAAGCCTCGGAGGAGCTCGCCGGCCTCGGAGGAGCTCGCCGGAGTGGAGGAAGCCTCGGAGGAGCTCGCCGGACTGGAGGAAGCCTCGGAGGAGCTCGCCGGAGTGGAGGAAGCCTCGGAGGAGCTCGCCGGACTGGAGGAAGCCTCGGAGTCGCCGGACTGGAGGAAGCCTCGAGGAGCTCGCCGGACTGGAGGAGCTCGCCGGACTGGAGGAAGCCTCGGAGGAGCTCGCCGGAGTGGAGGAAGCTCGGAGGAGCTCGCCGGACTGGAGGAAGCCTCGGAGGAGCTCGCCGGAGTGGAGGAAGCCTCGGAGGACTCGCCTGGAGGAAGCCTCGGAGGAGCTCGCCGGAGTGGAGGAAGCCTCGGAGGAGCTCGCCGGAGTGGAGGAAGCCTCGGAGGAGCTCGCCGGAGTGGAGGAAGCCTCGGAGCGCCGGAGTGGAGGAAGCCTCGGAGGAGCTCGCCGGAGGGAGGAAGCCTCGGAGGAGCTCGCCGGAGTGGAGGAAGCCTCGGAGGAGCTCGCCGGAGTGGAAGCCTCGGAGCTCGCCGGAGCCTCGGAGGAAGTGGAGGAAGCCTCGGAGGAGCTCGCCGAGTGGAGGAAGCTCGGAGGAGCTCGCCGGAGTGGAGGAAGCCTCGGAGGAGCTCGCCGGAGTGGAGGAAGCCTCGGAGGAGCTCGCCGGAGTGGAGGAAGCCTCGGAGGAGCGCCGGAAGGAAAGCCTCGGAGGAGCTCGCCGGAGTGGAGGAAGCCTCGGAGGAGCTCGCCGGAGTCGGAGGAGCTCGTGGAGGAAGCCTCGGAGGAGCTCGCCGGAGTGGAGGAAGCCTCGGAGGAGCTCGCCGGAGTGGAGGAAGCCTCGGAGGAGCTCGCCGACTGGAGGAAGCCTCGAGGAGCTCGCCCCTCGGAGAGCTCGTGGAGGAAGCCTCGGACTCTCCTCGGAGGAGCTCGCCGGACTGGAGGAAGCCTCGGAGGAGCTCGCCGGAGTGGAGGAAGCCTCGGAGGAGCTCGCCGGAGTGGAGGAAGCCTCGGAGGAGCTCGCCGGACTGGAGGAAGCTCGGAGGAGCTTGGAGGAAGCCTCGGAGGAGCTCGCCGGACTGGGAAGCCTCGGAGGAGCTCGCCGGACCCTCGAGGAGCTCGCCGGACTGGAGGAAGCCTCGGAGGAGCTCGCCGGATGGAAGCCTCGGAGGAGCTCGCCGGACTGGAGGAAGCCTCGGAGGAGCTCGCCGGACTGGAGGAAGCTCGGAGGAGCTCGCCTGGAGGAAGCCTCGGAGGAGCTCGCCGTGGAGGAAGCTCGGAGGAGCTCGCCGGACTGGAGGAAGCCTCGGAGGAGCTCGCCGGAGGAGGAAGCCTCGGAGGAGCTCGCCCTGGAGGAAGCCTCGGAGTCGCCGGAGTGGAGGAAGCCTCGGAGGAGCTCGCCGGAGTGGAGGAAGAGGAGAAGAAGCCTCGGAGGAGCTCGCCGGACTGGAGGAAGCCTCGGAGGAGCTCGCCGGAGTGGAGGAAGCCTCGGAGGAGCTCGCCGGAAGGAAGCCTCGGAGGAGCTCTGGAGGAAGCCTCGGAGGAGCCGGACTGGAGGAAGCCTCGGAGGAGCTCGCCCAGGTGGAGGACTCCGGACTGGAGGAAGCCTCGGAGGAGCTCGCCCAGGAGGAACTGGAGGAAGCCTCGGAGGAGGTTGACACCGCCGGCGGGTTGAACCCCCTGGAGGACGTCGATCCGTAGGGTCTCCGTAGGGAACTCATTGCAATTCAGCATGACCTTTCACAATTAGCTAAACTCCAATAGGAGAAGCTAGGACAGTTGAGAAAGGTCATGGAGAAATTGCACTGGTTCACGAAATGACCTGTTCCTCCCGTCACAGCGCGGAAATGTTCGTGGGGCGCGCTTCACAAGACGGCGCAGGAGGAGGGGGGGAAATGTGTAGGAGGGTGGGGGGAGGGGCGCAAAATGAGTGGGGGAAGGCATTTCAGAAAAGAGCGCAAGTATCTGAACGTGTAAATTGCCTCATATATCATGATCAATATAATAGAATTTCATCACAATTATTGATTATTTGATAATAATTATTATATATTTGATAATAATGATAACACACACACATATATTACAAAGAACACTAAAAAAAACAAAAAATTATATATATATATATTTATATTTTTATATATATATATATAAAAAAAAATAAAAAAAACCCATTGAACTTCCGGGCTCTGGCCAAATGGAAAGAAAACATCGCCACCACAGACTTATTCACTACATTTCATTAATTTCGGGCCTTCTCTTCGCTTTGTTGGGCTGACTTTTACTAAAGGAACTGTATATCAATGTAATACTTTTAAAACTTCTTTTTTAAATCCCTCCCTCTCCGCCCCATCTCTCTCTCTCTTCTCTCCGTCCTCCACTTCCTTCTAGTTCTTCCTCTTCCTCCTTATCCTCCACCTCCCTCACTTCCTCCTCTTATTCTCCAACCCAAACTTTCCCTCCATCCACCATCTCGTCACCTTCCTCTACCTCCCCTACTTCTTTCTCCACCTCTCCTCCTCCTTTCCCCTCCATCCCTCACCTCTTCCATCCTCCTACTATGCCTCCTCTTCCTCCCCTCCCATGCCTCCTCTCCATCCCTCACCTCTTCCATCCTCCTACTATGCCTCCTCTTCCTCTCCTCCTCCTCCTCTCCCATCCTCCTCCTATGCCTCCTCGCCCATCCTCCTCCTACGCCTCCTCTTCCTTCCTCCTCCTATGCCTCCTTTCCCCCCTCCACCCCTCACCTCCTCCATCCTCCTCCTCTTCCACACACATTAACAGGACACCTCTTCTCGCGAGGTAAACACAGCTTCAAAAATTCCACTGCGAGCATCTCTTCCATTTAAGGCGTGAGAAATGTACACCACACGCCTTTCGCTGCTACTATTACGTATGCTTTAAAGGTGCCTCGCACACGCCCACGCTGCTGCCGTGTGATCAAATTAAGCGAGGTGAGGCCGAAGGAGAGAGAGAGAGAGAGAGAGAGAGAGAGAGAGAGAGAGAGAGAGAGAGAGAGAGAGAGAGAGAGAGAGAGAGAGAGAGAGAGAGAGAGAGAGAGAGAGAGAGAGAGAGGAAGAGAGAGAGGAGAGGAGAGGAGAGAGAGGAGAGGAGAGGAGAGGAGAGGAGAGGAGAGGAGAGGAGAGAGAAGAGAGAGAGAGAGAGAGAGAGAGAGAGAGAGAGAGAGAGCAGAGGAGGAGGGAGGAGTGTACTTTACTGCTCAAGATTTGAATAGCATCCACGAAACAAACAAATAAAAGCAGATGAAAAGAATTGAAATAAACACAAACACTTAATCCCCCCCCCCCGGTTCTCTTCCTCCCTCTCTTTCTCTCTCTTGAAGATAGTAAGTGGAAAAAGAAAAACACGAATCCAAGTAAAAATCAGTTGAGAAAAGGAGATTTGAAGGATTTCAATAAAAAAGAGAAACCTAAATAGATAAAAGCCATCGACAAACGAACAAGAATTGGCAATGAAGAACAGACACAAACAGAATCGCACCAAAAGGTAAAGAGAAGAATTAAAAGATTTGAGACAAGTAAAGGGAAACAGAATGAGAATAAAAGAGAAATACTTCTGTTTGATTTCTTAACTCATGAACAATTTGCATAGAGTGATCGAGAACATTTGCGAATATCCTTTGATCAAGGCTGTTCACGAGAAGAAATTGCGAGAAGCTGTTCATAGGCAGATGCTAATACACGGAGAGAAACAAAGAAATATAAATAAAAAAGACGAAGACGAAAACAAAACGAACACAAAGATACACTAGAGACCTACGTGAAAGTAGGGAAAAGGGATAAATAAGAATACAGGGAAAAAAATAAGAATACAGAGACTACAAAAGCAAGGCAGAAATTTCGACAAGAAATCGGAAAATAGAGGAAAACAAAATTATATGAAACTGATTTCGATGTATCATCAAACACAGTACTTCCTAACTTTATATTTAGATGAAATAAGTATTTCCTTAAATGTCAAAAAACGTTTTTTTTAGACACTGTGATCATTATGCAGCAGAGAATCAGAATTATTAAATTATCAAATTATTAACTAATTAAACGGTAAACATAGATTAGAAAATAAATATTCTTAAGGATATAAGAAAAACAAAACAAAAACAAAATGTTTCTTTGTATATGGCATTCAGCCTTGACACATTACTAAGATGACACCTACCGTCATTACAACACAGCAATCCGTTAACAAAATTCATTCTGCGTCATCAGGCATTTCGAGGCCGCGGTTCCATGCATTCTCCAACAAGATCTTCAGTCACATCTTCTTTCGGGCTTCATGTTCTGCAACCAATGCCTGGAGAACCTGTTCGGAAAGACAGTCATGTAAAGAGAGAAAGCGAACGCAGGAAAACACGAATCTCGAGTGATACACACCCCAGACAAAGGTGCATTATGGAAACTTTCAAGAAAAAAGTCCCAGGCGTTGATGTTATTATTGAAACACATAGCTGGACACTTAATATTTTAACATTTTATTCACAATGGAAACCAAACACCTAGTGTATGAATATTTTTACCATACATTCGTTTGTCTCATGAAGCATGTTACAATCTACAAAACAATGTTCCAATCACACAGCCAAACATACAGCTCTATCAAAAACCACGACACACAATACACAAATACGTATTGTACAGACACACATACCTCAATGAGTTGAGCCCTTCGCTCTCCCTGGAGGTGCTGCCCGAGGACGACCGCTGGCGAATGACCTCTTCGGCGTCGTCTAGGAAGGCCAGGCACGACGCGTCCGCCTCGCCGTCGCCGTCTTGTCCCCGGTGCTCCTCGACGGCATCTCCTCCGCCAGAGGATGCGTGTTTGTTGATCTGCGGAAATGAAGATCTTTGTTGGTAACCATATAAAATGACTTCAAATGAGACTTTCAGGTAAGATATCTGAGGAACATTAAGTGCCAATAATATCTCTCATGTAATACATTTTAGACTTTTACACAAATCTGTATAGCTATATATCTGCAATTATAATTTCTGTGTCAATGTTAAATCTAGAAAAATAACTGCTGAAAGCGACACCCTCAGCCAGGGGCGTGGAAACTCAGCCCGTGAACGCCTGTTGTTCAAAATCAACACAGCATCCAGCCCAAGAACCCTAGCCTTGGCACTCTCCCCAACCGTGCAATGCCATCTTGCCACCATCCTGCCAAGCACCAACGTCTGCTAGGGTTTCGCACTGGCAGTAGGTTTACACGGTCGATAGGAAAAGACCTCCACAGCACTGACAAGGCAGCGAGCCTCTGCCCTCGCAGCCAGATGGTGTTAATGGTAGAAAACCCACCATGCACAAACTAGATTTATTGAAATAAATGCGACAGCAGTTTCGGAATCCTCCTGAATCCATCGGTTGTCCCATTTATTTCAATATATCTAGTTTGTGCATTGTGGGTTTTTCAGCCATAACATATGTATACATGCATACATATATTGTGCTTGAAAAGACAGATATTAAAAGACAGAGATATACACACAAAGATATGCTCACACATGCATACATATGTACAGTTGGCCACCAAAGTTCTGTCATAGTAATAGTACAGTAATAGTATCGATGTGGATTTTATCTGGTAACTCTGTAGTGAACAATATATATAAAGCCTCCTTGGTAGTGGACGAAAAGCATAAAAAGTTACTGACCAGACCAGCAAAAAAGCTTTCCTTGCAAACTTTCCTTCATATTTGTAATTATCAAAACACACATCATGTGAGCACTGATAAAGATGTTGGTTCAAACCCTATATATGTATGACGTGACTGTCATGTCACGAAAGAAATTGGCTTGAGGGGCGGGTGATGTGAACATGCCATCATGGGAGCAACAGGCAGAGGGCCAGTGACGGGAACTTGCTGTCATGAATTCGGCTGAAGGCTGGCTTGACAGGAGTGTCCTGCCACGAGTGCACGACGCTCTTGGAGGATGATTAAAAGAAGATGAAAAGTTTAGAAATAAAAACTAGTGCTGTACTTCTGAACAATGACGACAGAAGGATATGTGAAACCAAAGTTTACAGGCGAGAGAAAATATATGAAATGTGGAAAAATGAATTACAACAGAAATCCTGTTGATGGAAGAGGAAATGTTAGTGTTACAAATGTGGTTCAATGTTTCCCTATGAAACTCGATGCCCCAAGAGAATATATGATGTGAAAAGTGAAGATGAGGAATAGAATGGAGAATGTTTCCTCACAATTGATGAAGGACGCAGAAGACTAGTAGGAGAATCTTCTAACAGTGCAGGGTTATATTCAGCATGTTCTCCAACAGTATATGGAGTAAGATAGATTTAAAAGTACCTTGAAGCCTTGAAGAAGACATGACAAAAGTCAAAGTCGAAAAGAGTTCCATGAGTTTCAAATTTGGATGGAAAAATAAAGAAATACAGTGAACCCTCGTTTTTCGCGGGGTTACGTTCCAAAAAGAACCCGTGATAGGCGAAATCCGTGAAGTAGTAACCTTTATTTTTTTACAATTATTATGCAATAAAATTACAGTACATTGAAACTAAAGAACAAAACCTTTTTACAGGCACAAGCATTTGTTTAACAAGTAAAAGTACTGTATAAACGTTTTTTACAAAAAAACTGCTGCACTGTAAAATAATAATTTTAATCATCAATACGAACTGAAGGCTTCATGGGTTTTAGAGAAAATTTGCAAACAAATTTGGCAAGCTGTTTTACGTACATGTACATATTAAACCCTAATGTTATTGATACAGGTAGAGAAGAAGCGGAGAGACTGTTTAGCCAATCAGAATGCAGAACACAATGCACAATGCAAATCCGTGAGCAGCGAGAACGTGAAAGGTGAACCGCGTTATAGCGAGGGTTCACTGTAACAGAATGGAAAAATTGTCTGCTTCTGTTTTCCATCTTTCAGTTTCTGCAATCTTTCTATGCTCACCCTCTAATTTGGCATATTTATTGTCTTTATGAAGAGCATAATGTTTTTGTGCATTGAATTTCTTAACCGTCGCAATTGCGCTATCACAAAGCAGACATTTTGCCTCCAATATTCACTAAAAAATATTGTAATTCCCATTCTTCCTTGATTCTATTTTCTTTTTTCAAAGTTCGTTTCAGTTTCTTATACTTATGGGTTGAAAACTTTTTCTTCTAAAATACCAATAAAATATATATAATGAATTAGAAAGGCCGGCCGCACACTGGCCCAGAAAAAACGATTTCGGAAAGGACATGACAAACCTGCATCCATTATATTCTTTTCTTGAATTCGGAAATCGTCACTACCATTCGAGAATAATATTTAGATTTGTACTTTTTTCTGCAATTATTACTTTTATTATCATTACCCAATTAATATAGAAATAATGTCAAATGACGGTTTTCAAGCAAAACATAATTATGCTAAAGTCAAGACCAAGATTCCAAGAACATGGTTTCGGATGCTGATTGATCGTCATTATATTTATTATTATTTTTTATATTTATTATATTATCATTATTAAATCTGGAGCAGTGTGCAGTTGGCCTGACAATAGCAATTTCGATTATTGTTACTAATTAAGTCAACAACGCATGCACTCGTGAATGTCCGCTTTCGAATGAGGATATAACAAACAGTCTCATGTCCCTGTGAACTTAAAGCGTTTTAAGCAGGGGAGCGATTGGCAAGAATTCT